ATAAATAATGCTTTGTTTTGCATTAAGCAAAATCGTTTGTCTTTCTATTATTTTGGGGTGAAATATGACCTAGACAGTTCTTGACAGTTTGCATTGGATTCATTCTTCTGATTTTGAAAGCTCTTGTCATTTTGTGTGCAGCATGTATCAGACGGTCCGTAGGCGTGCCGTCTGAGGCTAAAAACTATTTGCTGTAGACTTGAGATTAAGCAGAATTTAAATGCTGTGTTTAACAGTAGATTACATCCCCCTCTATTGCTCCCTACCAGCTAAAACAACCAGATGAATGATTCCTCATCTTAATTTTTCTCATTGTTCCTGAAAGGATTAATGGCATTAAGTAAAACAGTGGTTCTGAAATCTAAAATGAGCAGTCTGGGTAACTCCAGGACAATGATTGAGAGCTGAATTAGAGGACTGATCAGAGGATTCTAATATTTCTTAAACTTTTAAATGTTTCTGGACTGAAGAATCGATGTCACACATGCAGATCTTTTGTGTTCCAGACTTTCTGTATGCCGTCCAAAAAAGTTTGTTCTGTTCTGTAGATATCCATGAATTTGTCTTTTGCATTCTAAGCAGAAGTCGCCACAGACAGAAACAAACCTCAATTCACTTTGACGTCTTGAATCTTCAGCCCGAGCACCGTCACTGCGGAGTTTTGAAACCTCAGTGACCATCCATTAGGGTTGGGCCGATAGACGATGCCATCGTTTATCGCCGATGGCTGACAGACATCACGATGTTGAGCCGGCATCGTGATCCCCCCCACCCCACCATACCCCCCGCAATCCACCGCATCCCAATTCCGTGTTCGGAAAGGAAATTAAGTGTACATTTACCTTCACTTTCGAGATTTGCAATCACACAGACTCTATACTACGGAGCGGCAGTACCTACCACACATTTTACAAGATTAGATATTTGTCAGTGGTGCTCAGTATCTGCAAATCATTCGCCATTGTCCTATCAGTTATCTCTCCTTACTCTGTGTATGTGGTAAGTGAACTTTCATGTACTGTAATGTAATAGTCTACCGCTAGCAAGCAGCTAACCATGTCCCTTTAGTGGCTCTGTAGAACGCGTTATTTGTTTTCCATGCCTTTCTGCATACAGATTCACGCTTCGGGCACACCCCCCTAACCCCGCCCCCCGATGTAATCGTCCATCACGATGTTTCACTGTAGACATCGTCCGATGCCAATTTGGTAGACATCACCCAACTCTAGTGCAAACAAAATGAAGGGCATTTTCCATCCTTTTCCAATGAGCTACTGTCATCGGTAATGTAATAGTCTACCGCTAGCAAGCAGCTAACCATGTCCCTTTAGTGGCTCTGTAGAACGCGTTATTTGTTTTCCATGCCTTTCTGCATACAGATTCACGCTTCGGGCACACCCCCCTAACCCCGCCCCCCGATGTAATCGTCCATCACGATGTTTCACTGTAGACATCGTCCGATGGCAATTTGGTAGACATCGCCCAACCCTACCATCCAACATTCAGAGAAACCGTTAGTAATGGTCTGCTGGTTTGATGACACAGTTTCACTAGGATTTCAAATTGGAGAGAATTTGAATCTGGTTACGGGTTTCGCTGTTAACAAACCATTAATTACAACTTTTGCTTCAAATTTCTAATTTGCTGCTTATTAATAGTTAGTTGTTAAGTTTAGGTATTGGGTAGGATTAGGAATGAAGAATATGGCCACGCATAATATGTGCTTTATAAGTACTAATAAACAGCCAGTGTGTTATTAATATGCATGATAATAAGCAACTAGTTAATAGTGAGAATTGGTCCCTATACTAAAGTGTTAACCACATTTTTTGCATTTCTGCTCACACTAATGGCATCTTTAAGTAAACACTACTAAAAATCAACCTACTCTCAAAAATGAAAACAAACCTGGTAACAAAAATGAAATCAAACAGCATTGTTTTACTTCTCAGTCTTGGTTGTGGTGAATATTTGTTCTTTGAACGAATAGGCCTTAGGTCATAAGTAGACAAAAATAATGTAATAACCAATGTCCTATCCACACATTACTCAAAGGGCAGGCGAATACTTACACTGACACTAAAGAAATGCAAGGCATTCTGGTATGTCGACCACTTTGTGCTGACAACAGTACAAAATAGCACCGCCCACAGTCTCTCCAGACGTCTGGGTTTCACATCTTATTAGGCAAAGTTTTGTCTTTTTTCCCCATCCTTCCTGCAACAACAGTTGTTAACTGAAGACAGTTTCCACAAACAAAGCATCATTACAGTTGTTATAAAATATGAAGAAATATAAATAACATTATTAGTATTAATAAAGCTCTGCACAAAGCCCAGACTACGGCATGACTTGAGATGCTGTTTGCTGATGCTCTTGTGTCTGAATATATAGTGGAAAGTTTTTCCAGAATAATGGAAGCTTTTAAGGAGGATATACTCCCTAATGTCCATGATGTTGAACTCTAAACCCAAATGTGCTTCAACAAGCACACAAGGGTGTGGTGTCAGTGTGTCCCACATACCTTTGGGCATGAAGTGCACATTCACCCGTGACTGCACATCTCTTGAATTCTATATTACTGCAGTAAGTTGCGACATTGCTTGGCAACAGCAGATAACTAAACTCTGTATCACCATGATCCTATCAAGTCCTTCCTTGTTGACTCGCTCAAGACATGTTTAGCTGTTTTCACATCACTCTCACATGTACACATTTTAAGGTCATGCCACTTAAATATATCTAGCATGGTATGAACAGTCGATCAAAATCGCTTTTCTGTTGCACAGTATATACCATTTAAAAACAAAGCCATTATCATGTGGTGATGTCTTTAACTTGCGCCTTAATTCGGTAGCTTGTCTCGTTAACTGCTGTGCAGAGATGTTATGTCTGCAGTGATCTCTCAGCATGCATTGATTGCTGCTCTCGTCATTATCTTTTAATGAATACATCCATCTTTGAATTGTTTTGAATGATGAAATAAAAAACGTTTTTGTCATCACACTCTTTCTAGGAGTGCAACGGTGATATTTCCACAACATTTAAGTGAACTTGGTTTTATATGTGTTATTTCTGGCACTTGACCGAAATAAAGCAGTTAGTCAGGGTGCAGGTTCTTACGAGACTGTAAATTCTTTAGTCTGTACATGAATATGGCTGGGTGATACAGCTTAAAAATATTAAATTATCTATTCATATTCAATATAAACTGTCAGCCGGTCATTATATCTGAATGTAAAATATCTTGCTACCTACCAAATAAATAAATGTATGGATATGAAATATTTAAGTTGGAATGCTTTTATTAGCTTGCTCATGAAAGCCACAGAGAGCCAGGACACAATCACAGCCGTGTAGGAAACATGGGTTTCCCAGATGAGTAGTCAGTTGTACAGTGTGGTTATAGGCGATTGATTTAATAGTGAGAGATTGATTTTTATATACTGGCTCTGATTTTTCAGTCCATCATTGCAACCACTCAGTGTGTCTATCTACACTGATCAGCCACAACATTAAAACCATTGACAGGTGAATAACATTGATTATATTGTTACAGTGGCACTTGTCAAGGGATGGGATATATTAGTGAATATTTGAATATTCGTTTTATGGCTTTTCCCTTCACATATGAGCTCTCTATGAGAGTTGAGATTAGAGCAGTAGTGGTTGGCAGGACTGCTGTGGTTCAACATCTGCTCTGCTCTGAGCCATGGGCACATGTATGTATACACGTGTGTGTGTGTGTGTGTGTACTCTCCCCCCAGACCAGCATCACATTCACATGCACCTCCACTAATTAACTCCCACTAGCACATCCTCTAATTATCTGGGATCTGGCTAAATTAATTATTTTCTGGTGTAACACCCACCATGTTCGGCCCATAGCACACAACTATACAATCGTTTTCGACTAATAGCATGTTCATTAGAATATGTGTGGTGTCTGTGCAAACTGCAAAGTTTGCTTGCTTCAATCAAAAACTAGTCAAGTCAAAAGAGCAGAATTTGTAAATCTCTGGGATCTGAAGTAGACGTTTGCAGTGTATTTGTTGCTGGTGGCGCCTTCATTATTGAAATACTCACTGACGCACGAAGCGCAAAATTGATTCGGTTGGTAAGCAGACAGAGATAACAGCTTCTCAATTAAATGGTTTCATGTTTATGGGAACAATCTGTGATGCGTGATGTTGCCTGGGATTTGTGGGAAAAAGCTTTTCTCTGCTCTGGTGTCAGGCTGTTCTGGTAAACTGTATTTATCATTCATAATTCTTGCAGATGCGTATTTTAATTTCCCTCTAAGTCTGTTTAGTTTGGACATTTTATTGTGTAACTTATGCTAAACCAACAGAAAGAAACCTGTTATGCAGTGGCAAAAACATACATGTTTAATAACTCACTGCATTTAATCCACTGTTTCAGACATTCTTTGCGTATTGTTCAAAAGCCGTATTGAGAACGACTAATTAAAAAAGTGTCCTTGTAAAGGCTTATGCTATTCTGGACTTGTTTCGAACTTCCAAGCCGCAGTTCAGAGCCCGGGATGCAGAAAAATTGCCAATGGCTTCAGAGAGATTATGCTACATAGCGAGGCGAACGGCACAGCTGCATATCTAATTGCATTAATGCCTGCTGCTGGTGCAGCCAACCAATAGAAATAACACTGCAAGTAGCGTGATATTGAAAAGGTCAGTGAGATATTTAAAAGGGTCATATGATGCGATATCAATTTTTCCTTTCTCTTTGGAGTGTTACAAGCTCTTGGTGCATAAAGAAGATCTGTAAAATTGCAAAGACTAAAGTCTCAAATCCAAAGAGATATTCTTTATAAAAGTTAAGAGTCAACCACACCCTCCTAAAACGGCTCATTCTAACACGCCCCCACATGTCTACGTCACGATGTGGGAAGATTTGCATAATGCCACCCAAATGTTCACGCAAAGAAAGAAGGCGTAACTTTTATTCTCGCTGTAGTATTGTTGTTGCCGCCGCTGCCATGTCGTGAAGGCGCTGTGTGCTTCGTTGTGAAAGCGAAACTACTTTGTTTGGCCTTCCAAAAGAGGACGATATCCGCTTCGTCATGCCTAGAGCTGATCCGTGCTGGTCGCTGAGGAAATACATCAACTTTGTGCTGTGGATCGCCGGATCGGCTTTCACCGTGGACGAAGCGGAGTCCAGCCCGGGGTCGTCACATGTGGTTGCCACAAGCCCGCCGGCCGCTCCTTCGTCGAATCCGCCCACTCTCACTCTAGGGGAGTGACGTTGTGTGTTTCGTTGTGAAAGTGAAACTACTTTGTTTGGCCTTCCAAAAGAGGACACAACTAGAAATCAGTGGTTAAGTTGTATTTACAACACCGTTCTAGAACAGTACAATCCAAATATTAAGATGTGTGCAGCGCATTTTATGGAGGACTGTTTCCTGATCCTGGGAGAGTAGACTACAATGCCGGCTGTTCTGACTCACAGACTGTAAGTACGTTTTTTATATTTAAAGAATTTGCCACTGATTTCCTGTGAGAGTAGCCTACAATGCCGGTGTCTGTTTCTATAAAGTGGGGCAGTTCCAACTTTGCAAGGACAGTCTGGCACTTCTGACTCACAGCCTGTAAGAACGTTTTTTTATATTTAAAGAATTTGCCACTGACGATTCAAACGCGAGTTTTGTTGTTTGTCGTTTCTCCAACAAATGCCGACATGGTTTTATGTTTACGCGGCGCAATACGCAACGCAAAGCGTAAAAACACAGTATAAGTCATTACAATCAGTAAGTTGGATGCAACGAATGCCTCGTTTGTAATGGGTTTTATTGGTTTTGTCTCATCGCATGGAAACACAGTATGGTAGGGGCGTAACATTTCCGTCCCACGCTTGAGGTATCCAGCCAATCACAACACACTGGATAGCTGGCCGATCAGAGCACACCTCGCTTTTCAGAACGATGAACTTTGTAAAAATCGAGGCGTTTCAGAAAGGCGGGGCATAGAGGAGAAACAATAATGTACATTATGTGGAAAATAATGTGCTTTTTGAACCTTAAACCGCATAAACACATTGCATTACACCAAATACACAAAATAATGTTATTTTTTAGCAACATCATATGACCCCTTTAATTTAATCAGGTATGTCATTTCTGATTTTAAATAGTTCAAAAATACGCCCCCATTTACTTCCACTCAAAGTGCCTCACAGCAACATTGATTTTTGCCTTTTAATTTGATTTATTTCTTAATTTATTAAGGAATGAATGTATGAATGAAGGCATGAAAAAGAGGGAGGAGTTGACATGTTGTTTTTCTCTAGTTAATGAATGTTATGTCAGAAATGCTACACTCTGTACACTCTGTATGGAAGCGTGAATTTTTCTTGGGGAGAAAAAAAAGAAGACTTTTAAAAGACATGAAAACCATGAAAACACAAAGGGTCTGCTTTTCTTTCACCTGCCGGTGTGTCTTCTTTAAATAGCTCGCTCTTGAGTGCTGTACTCGCTTACGGCCATACCACCCTGAGCACGCCCGATCTCGGAAGCTAAGCAGGGTCGGGCCTGGTTAGTACTTGGATGGGAGACCGCCTGGGAATACCAGGTGCTGTAAGCTTTTGCTTTTCCTTCACTAGTCAGCTAACACACTTGTCCAAGGCTCAGCTTTCATGCTTGCTCCCTTACCCTTTTAAACTGATTGCTGCTGCTTCTTTTTTCTTTGTTTTTGCTTTCTCTGTGCCTTCGCTCTGCTTTCGGTGAAGGCTCAGCCTCGTCATTCTTCCTTTCTCCTCCAGGGGGCGATAGACAGGCCTTTTCTCTCTCTACAACAACCTCTTGAGCGCTGCATGTTCTTTTGGAAATGACGCTCCTCTCTTCAACTTGAGAGCTTCCCAAACTTGTTTGTCATCTGAACCCCTTAGATGTAAACTACATAGGAGATGTCCCCTCTTAGATTTTCAGTTAATATTTCAATAATTTAACAACAAAACACATTCTCATGTTCATGTTTCTCTGATGTTGGTGAATGGTCAAATGACTGGCAAGTAAACAAATAAAATATTGCAGCTTTTTTTGTACTTTTTCAGTACTTGGAAACAGGACAAGAGTGTTTCATCAGCTCAAAAAACAAAACAAAAAAACAAGCATTAACGTAAGAGCGAATATTTATTTATTTATTTTAGGAAACCATAGGCATTGCCTTTCTGTTTTTAAATAATTCAAAATTAGGCCCCCATTTACTTCCACTCAGGGTGCTTCACTGCAACACTCGTTTTTGCCTTTTGCCATTTCAGGAATCCTCAAATATGGCCCACGACTTCCACTTTTCTACAGAGTTCAGCTCTAACCCTAATCAAACACACCTGAGCATGCTAATCAATGTCTTCAGGATCTTTAGAAAATCACAGGTAGGTGAGTTTGATCAGGGTTGAAGCTAAACTCTGCAGCGCATTGGCCCTCCAGGGCAAGAATTGAGGAACCCTGATTTATTTATTTATTTATGAAAAAGAGGGACTAGTTGATATGTTGTTCTGTTTTTTCACTGTAGAGTGATTATAACACAACTTTGTCAGATTTCTGTTTCTTTTCTTTTTGTTTTTTCTAAAACAATGGCCATTACATTTCTGTTTTTAAATCATTAAATTCATCCCCATTTACTTCCACTCAAATTGCCTCACCGCAATATTTATTCATTTACAATTTTAAATTAAATTAAATTAAATTTATGATCATTTCTGATTTTAAATCGTTCAAAAATTTACCCCATTTACTTCCACTCAAAGTGCCTCACCGCAATATTTATTTATTTATTTACAATTTTTAATTTAATTTAAAGGGGTCATATGATGCGATTTCAATTTTTCCTTTCTCTTTGGAGCGTTACAAGCTCTTGGTGCATAAAGAAGATCTGTAAAGTTGCAAAGACTAAAGTCTCAAATCCAAAGAGATATTCTTTATAAAAGTTAAGACTTGTCCACGCCTACCTAAAACGCCTCGTTTAAACACGCCCCCACATGTCTACGTCACTGTGTGGGAAGATTTGCATAATGCCGCCCAAATGTTCACGCAAAGAAAGAAGACGTAACTTTTATTCTCGCTGTAGT